ATTTCGCTAGCACTAGCTTTTATCTGCAAGCAGGAAACATAGCTCGGCGTGTTCACGGAAGAGTGCATCAAATCCATGTACACTCCGCGTTTTCCTCAACTCGTTTGTGTTTCTAAAATATTGTCGTCTTAAGAATTGTCTACTGCTAACTGATGCGGCACTGCGTATGTCGGATACATTTACTATAAGCACACTCTGTGCATCTGAATATGTGCGGTGTATTACAACGACAGACGAACATATTTCCACTTTGCAATTCATACATTATAATAGGGTTGGATAAGGCATGATCAAACTATGGTATTCGGCTAGGTGTAGCTAATGATGGTTGCGTCAAAAATACCTGACAATAAACGCAATGGACAAATGTAGCTTGGATAAAGGCAAGATGTTAATGATTATTTTCCAAAAGAGAAGTTAATGCTACTTCTTGCAAATAAACCAAGTGGTATTTACTGTGGGACATCTACACTTTGATTTATCTTTCTTACATTTATCTAAGCTAAAGCACACTTTAGTTGCTATGCTATCATTTCTGTTATGACGCACACTGATTCACTGATTTTTTCGGGTCCGAACAAGTACTGTACATTCAGTCAGCAATCCTCTTTAAAGAAGAGAATGTACAGAAGCAATGTTGTCCATCTGCTGACAAAATTGCAGATTTTATACTGCAAATGGAGGGATGATCTGCTACAAGTGTTTTAAACTAACCAATTAGACACAATAGGTACAGGATGATAATACAGTAAATAAAACTCTTATTTTTACAGCACATTTCTTTACACTTGAGTTTTGTGTTGCATATTCGTGCTATTCGAAATACACGAACGCATTAAAATGGCTGTCAACTCTGAATTTTAGGCGCATAAAGGCCTTAATTTTAAGAGAACGTAAGAGAACGTTCCTTAACTAAAGGAATATGAGTTTCTGGCCTAAATAACTATTTGCTCGTTTGCATAATAAGTTTCCCATGGAAACAACTCCCGTTATTTCCAGCAAACTGCAACCGATGAAGATATTCGCATAATCGGAAAAGCGCTAGACAGCTGTTTTGTTCTGTCGTAATACATGACCACGTCCTAGTGTTTTAAGGTGCTGGTGCAAGCCATCAGTAGGCGCTGTTTCAAATAAAGCCGAAGCAGAAGGATTCGCGGTACTAGCAAATACCGATAGAATAAACGTTTACTCATTTTAATCTTTGGCATGTGTATACGGTCTGGATTAGTAGCATCAACAATACTCTCAGAATAATTATGGCAAAATAGGCAGACTTTCAATTTGTTTTGTACAAACTGATTAAACCGTATACAACTTAGTTACAAAATGTTCCAAGACATGTGTACCTTGTGTTATTTTATTCATTTAGAATACATATACATAATTTCAGAAGCAACATTTGCAAAAGTATTGACAGTATTTAAAATCGGTTGTGCGCAATAATTTACAGGAAGACATATTAGAAACTTATTGTTTGTGCGTACCATAAGAAGCTACTTCTTGCCGTATTTGTACAGGAAATCTGCAGCTATGCCCAAGCCACCTCAACCTGTTCGCTAGCGATAGGGCTTCCAACGTCGGCGTCCATGTTGCATGCCGTTCCACTGGCGTTAGCAAATTTATCCTCGTTACGAAGTATGGACGGTTTAGAACAGCCTCCTCAATGAACTCCAAATGGCATTTTGTTATTGGCTGTAATAAAATGCAACGTAACAAGTGGATCGATCGATTGAAATACTTCTTGTCCATATTAATAATTGTATTCAGGGATAAAGCTTATGGATTTTGGTAACACAGGCTACGAGTATTGAATACATATACATAGTTATCATCTTTAAAAAAGTTTACGATTTTGCTAGAATTCTCACTTCCAATTGCCAAGTAAATTACTCACTTGCAAACTTTTATCCGTGGTCTGCATAGATGAAATTATGAAGCAAGTAGCATTTGGTCTATAGGGATGTAATTTTGTTTTCCGAAATAACATGGTGTGAACTAAAGCATATTATTTGTGCTTTCGTGGTTTATCAAATGAGCACGGGTTGTGTGAATTGTTTGTGGAATCAATACGTCTATGTCAAACTTGGAGTTGACTAATGTCGAAATGCTCGAAACTTGGATGCTTGGTCACAAATTGGAAAGTGCATAAGCATTGCTGAACCGAGCTCTGTGACGCTTTTAGCTAGGCAGCTTAATTCTACTGAGGACAGTCTATAGAGCAATTGTGATACTCTTCTCAATTTAGAAGCGCACATTGCTGCATGTCCAAATTTTCGGCTAATCTAAGTGACAATTAATTACCAGGTTAAAAAGCATTACCATATCATATCGTTGAAAGTGTTACCAATTGACATCACATATAAACCATATGTCAAGAACTGTTTTTAGTGTACGAACGATCACTAGGCAAAACGTCTTTGGACGTTCAAACAACAAGGCAAGCGGGCGGTGGTCATCATGTATGTCAAAGTGTATCCGGCTGTCTTAAATCTAATTCGGCAGACTCAATTGAATATTCAAAAGACTTAACAAACCGTTCATATAGAGTAAGAAGCAAACTTAATTTAACCAGTGCACTCAAACCAAGAGTTTCATTATGAGCACACATAAAGTCAAGAGAAAGCATTCTATGATTCCCATCAAAACAATTCATTTGCGATTCACTGACGTTAATTTTTCCAGAAGGTAATTAATTAGCATCGATATGCAACACTAACTTAATTCTACACAGTTACCTTCAACCGATGTCATTTGCTTACTAATTACCAGAACGTAAGTTCTACACGTACGATGAAATTCCGAATAAACCTTCAAGATTAGAAGCTCAAACAGAATAGGTTTCCTTCCAATAACACTTAACCTTTATGCATTTGATGTTACACGTGTTGTGGATAATTCCGTTTAGTTCATTTGCCAAACATATTGAAACACAAGTTGAATTTATCCTTTAGTATATTTAATCAAACATGGACTTGCTTCTTCGAGAAACTTCTTGCAGGCGTCGGTTGATTTCTGCTCGACTAACATAATCACGTCCACATCTTTGGAACAAAAGTAAAGCGTCACATACAGTGCTGAATAATATTCACCAGATTATATCAGCAAAGAATTAGTTAAATGCGAAATGGGTAGTTAATTGTAGCAATTTATCCTTCAAGACATGAATTGAAATATTCATATTCCTACAGTCCTAAGATGCATATGAACTAGTTAGAAACAACCTCAGTAGTTATCAAATAAAATTACTTCAGTGGACAACAGAAATATTGCAACTCACATAGCGCTTTGGGATCATTCGCTGTTAAACGAAGGAAGAAGCATGCGGAAATTAATCGCTGTATATTTGTTAATTTAAGGAAGGAAAATTATGTGAATTCGTAGTTGTCTGTTGGCATTTTATTGCTAGACTCATTTGAAGTGATTTTACTCAATCGTCTAATCTGTTATTTGGAAATTGGTGTGGCTAGAGACTATCGAATAAGGCCTGAGTGCCTGAAGCGTCCATTTGGATTGCCTGTTTGTGGATGGATCGTGCACGCAATCTCAATGTAAACAAGGGTCCATATTTTAGTGTACCTTGGTGAGTTCCACCACTGGGAGAGTAGTTAATGAAGCAGAATAGAATACAATATGGCCGCCCGAAAGTACTGCACGCTGCGACGCGTTTCCACCCACTTTGATGCAATCAAGTGGCGATTGTAGATTTCAAACCAGAAATCTTTAACTATTATCTGCAGCTTATCGGCAGCTTATTTTCCCTGGTTGCTGCATTTGTGTTTAATCGACAGTAAATCTTTGAAAGCAAATATTAAATTTTACTTGAGCTAAGCATTGGTGAAACAAATTGATTTAAGTTGGAGCAAATACTTACGCAACTGCCTCGACCAGTGCAGTGCAACAACTTCAAAGTCAATCTTGCGCGAATCATAAGCAATATTTTTGAGAAACCGCGCTGGACCACTCCAATTTTCAGGAAATTCCCAAGTGACGTTGTAATGGTTGTCGTAGACTGTAACGCAGTGGTATGAATTGGAATCGTTTGATGTTGGGTAGCAGCTTGTGAACACCACTGCACCGTTCCTTTTGGCAACGTCGGAGAACTGTATCGAAGATAGAATATCGGGCATTTATATATATCAGGGAAATCTATATCGGTGAATTGGCATGCGGTGATGGAGAACGATTTGCGAGAATTACAATAGTATTAATTATAAATTTGGCGCAACAAATGCTACGGATATACTGGGCAGTGTCAAAGCGATGCATTTGATCTTTACAACATGTCTATGACCACAGACAAACAAGTCGGATGGTTGAAACATCTAAGCGTTATTGAGAATGAACCTGTATTCTTAAAGTATGGCCGACAAAATGGTATAGATCTAAGGATACTTATTCGACTGTTCCTTGTTAATCTTTAAAATATTGTATAGGTGCACTTACAAGATTTTGCACGGTTTCCTTGGGATCCGATTTTGCCCGAATTTTTAGTTCAAATGCTGCAAAAAGCAAGGTGACTAGGAGGAGAGACGAAAACCGACGCACCTACTGCAATATTTGCATGGTTTGACCGACTGTGCGTGCTGGATGAACTTCCAAACCTAGGTCATTCTTGCTCAATGCGTTCAACTGATTCAGGCTATATCAACCCGATGAGATTAAGCAAAATCATTAAGCCGCGGCTTAAATCTATCAGCCAAATTACCGTAAGGAGAGTAGTGAATATAAAACGTGGCACCTTTTACTGCAACATGGTTCTACGAGCGAGTTTCCAGATAAACACAATGAGTGTAACATTACTCAGGCAGCTCAAGTGTTACGTTGCAATTCAACGTTCGGAACAAACTCGTTACAGTGAACATGTGTCAACGTGAATTAAATGCATCTGCTATAATATGTTTGCTTAAAACATTCTGAGCTGTGTACCCGCAACACTACTGAGAATATATAACAGCATTTTGACCATTTATCCAGTGCACAGTACACAAGTGTCCGGTGTACAAATTACTGGGTTGTAGTAGAGTGGGGAATTAGTTAGTTGTTGTATGAATTTAATGAGTCCGTGAGTTACGTAGTAACCAAATTTTCATGAGAAACAAAATATACAATGGTTAGTGACTTGTTTGGGAAACCATCGCCCCAATTCCACATATTAGCTGTGCAAATAGGTGATGTGCTGAAAATATTGAAGCAATTCCTTGTGGCTATTTAACCATGCGCACTCAGCATAAATCAACCAAAGAGCGTGTGTGTGCCGAGCTATTTAGTGTAACTGCTCATAATCCGATGGTTGAAAATTTAACTAGCACATATTTGCACTCACTGTACTGCCCTTGTTTGAGATCTTGATCTAAAAGTAAAAATTAGTTGTTAAAAGGTCTAAACAAGTGCCAATAGTTCTATTTTACTGAACAACTTCAGCGGTGTATCCAAATGCCTGCTGTGCAAATGGAACGTATTAGGTGCATTGCATTTGCCCAGACGATGGAATTCGAGGCATAGAACAGATAGGAGGCTACATACCTATGCAATTTTAACTCACCTCCCATAAAGTTGGTTGCAGAAATCGAAGGAATCGCTCTTGAATCATTCGCTTTTTGTAACAACTTTCCGTTTGCTTTGATCGAACCATTCTCTACGCACACGCATGTCAACTCCATCGACCTGGCGTCATAAAACCATCTATCCAATTTGCAAGGTTCATCCGAAGATATATTGAAAAATGCACGCTGAACGAGACAAGAGCACAATATGGAATTAATAATGTAATAATGTTACATAGCAAACTAAGACAATGTGATACAGCTCATGTGGCCACAATGGGTCAATTAAGGTTTATGGATTACCTGATTGCATTAACAAAATCAGTAAACTATTAGAAACCCCAGTAAGTTTACGAGAGTGTAACAAAACAACTGCTGAACGGAATGAGATACCGAATATATACCAATTAATATGCTTATACGAAATACTAACTTGAATACCGCAATGTAAAGTCATATTTGTTCCGAAACTTTGATTCATGAAGTTACTTCTCGGCAATGCAGTCTCGGAAACCGTAACAGAGAAGAAGCCTTGAAGGATAGATAAGGTATCGTTAAGCTCATGTAGATATAGAAAAACGCAAAAAGCTACCAATTCATAGGTATATATACATAAATGTAAATATATGCGCATACTAAGCTACATTATTCTATTGTACACCACAACAGTTTGGTGATAACTGGTATTGTTTGCTGTTAATTTAGAAGCACATTTGTTTGCCTGTTTCCTAGTTAAATCGAGGGAAATAATTGCAAAACCAAGAAAACAACCTAAGTGAACCTATCAGTCTCGATTTTAGTGGAAAATGGCCGCGCAAATCATAAAACAACCCTTAACTCCTTTCAGTTGTGGTGCTGTCTTTTCGAATTAAGGGTATTTGCCTCTGCATGTAATGACAGCATTCAAATTAATCAAAAAGCCGACTCGTGATTTGACGACTAATTACCGTTTAAAATAATAACATGTAATGCAGAAATGTGTTTAGAACAAGTTACAAGTGAAACTGCATTAGAGGCAGTAACTGAGCTGGTACCATTTTGTACTGTGGGTTTGTGGCAAAACATTTCCAAGTAGATAAGTAACCAAACTCAGGATATTTGTCTAGTAAAGCGTAACACATATAAACTGTGCTTCCTTCTTTTATAGCGTAAGCAAATTTATGTGCAACACCTACTGCTAATGAGTTACGAAAAGTGGTTAGGACTGATTATTTGAGACTGATTCGAATGAATTTATAAACTCACTGCAGCTGACATCGAGCAAACAGATTATGAGGCACAAAATAATTGCTTTCAACATCTGGATAGTGATGCAGTGATGTTGATGCGCCTCTCTCTGCAGACTGACTGAAAGACGAGGACAAGTTTTCTGTATCATTCTGTATAAAATGGGACAAATACAGACCAATCACGGTACAGACCGCAAAGATAAGCACTGATTGGAACTACCTGTGGCTGTCTGAGATGTAGCTTGACTGTGCTTAACGATGTCTTTCACGCACGACGTGAATGTGAACATTATTAGCACACTGGGCTTAGAGTGCACATGATATTTATTAAGGTAAATCATAGATTATCTGGACGTAATAATAGTAAGAGTATCAGATAACTTCCACTTACTTTACAATGGGTTCCAAGTATTGCTAAGTTGTGTTATATTAGAAAAAGTAGTGAAGCTTACCGAGCATCAAAGATGCATCGGCACCGACAGTCTATGCTGAATGATCCTTTAATTTGGACCTGATAAAACCGTTGACGTTTCTAACTGTCCAGTATGTAGCACGGCAAATACACAGTACACAATTATAGTTGTTCTACGCGATGTTCAAAATTGAGCACAGCTGGTAGCGAGTTGCAAACGATTGCAACGTATCCTCTTTATATATTAGCTGAATCCTGGGGTATCTTCCGATTAGTACTTTGACATATGACCTGCAGTAAGGATCAGGTTGACGCGATATAAAACCAAAAGCGAAATTCACCTAAACCTGACCATTAGTGGAATACTGGAGAACCAAATAATGTACAACGCGATTAACATTTAACCTTAATTCATCTAATTACTGGGACCGTAGCCGAGAAAGATAGAGTGAAAATGTTGCCAGTCTGAAAACGCTGCGTGTCATATCCCGTTTGGAGACAGTTTTCTACGAACAGTGTCTTTGAAATGCCAGCCGAATGCATTACACTTAAAACACTGAAAAACAAAGTGCAGTGTGTGACACAACAGGTAATGTTTGATTAAGGGGATCAGTTGAAGCACTCGATGTATGAGTTGGTTGCGACGAGCAGTCTAAATGCAGACTGCAATTTGAATTGAAGTGTACCATGACCAAATTGATCAATGTCACGGTGGGTGATGGAAAAGAATATTGTCAGCATAAAACCACTGAATTCCACAAACCGCTTCGTAACTATTGCCTCACCTTAACTTTGGATAGCAGTCACGCAAACCGAGTCTCTGGAATGCCTGCCGGGACAAACACCCTATAGTTGCTAACCAAACTTCTGTGCTTTAGGGTTGTGGGCTTCGGCAGAGCTAAAAATTAACGTCCTTTAGACAGTTGTGGATGCCAGTTAGCAGCATTGTCGCTGTACATGAAGTGCATCTATCCAGTAGCCAAGAAAGAGTGTACGCCGCCAGAGATGGCTGGATTGTCAACGTTCTACAGCAGAAACAAAATACCTACCACCGATTTGAGAGCATAGACAGATGTCTGTATGAGTAGCAGGCTGTTTCTAGGTGACACAATGTATTTTGGTACTATACAAAACGTACCGCTAACATATGAGCGGTGTGCGTCGCTGATACCTTTCAATTTTTATATTTAAACCTTTAGAATTTCAGCTGAAACAGTTTAGTATGATTTCAGTGTAAACTAGTTGGTAAGAATAAAATAGTAACAGACAATGATTAAGGTAAAAGATATGTTAAGTCTGCCTTTGTGTTTGACAAAACATAAAACGTGAAATGTAGATTAAAACAATCACCGGCCGATTGCTGATTAGGAATACACAAAAGGTTTGCTATTTTTCATCATGCGATGACCATATAATGTTTAGGTTAACCCGAATTCAGCAGAACGAGGCATTGCATTTTAACCTTATTTTCTTACTTGGCTCCACCACACAGCATTGCAATACGAACTTGACGGTTAGCCGATTCGCAGCAAGCGCCGTTTTAAAGCATTCAAGCACTGAACATGTGAGGACAAAACACACACGGAGACCTGTTTAAGAGCAGCTATAATCGATGCTACCTAATATTAGCTATCTAGAAATGAATAATTGAAATGGAACAAGGGGACATGCGGATAAAAATGTCGATGCCTGACATGTTCCTTGGGTTGGTTCTAAGGAGCACATAAGCTTAACCTATTTGCAATAAGTAACTCCTGTATCTGTGAACTAACCATAATGTCCACCTCAAAACACAGCAGTTCCTTCTACCCTGATTGTATAGTGGTTAGTAATAACAAAATTGTATTCCTCAAGTAGAGCTCGATGAACGGAATTCATATCACATAATACAGACGGTGTGATGCATCATTCATTTGGTTGTCAAAAGTTGGCAACGCGGGCGCAGTAATCACCAAAGTATGATGCATGATCAGCGGTTAACGAATTCTGAGAGGAAGAAAATCCTGGCTACATTCTAGCTGTATGTATTTAGTGGCGAATTTCAGTTGTTGCCTCAGGGCTTTAGTTATGTGTAATTGTTAGGTAGTGCGAAAATAACCGGGAGATTGCAATATATTTTACGCCAGGATGACGTCAAACTGTACATGATGGATAACTTTCACTGCACCCTCGTAAGCTCTCAGTTTCGGTTAGTGTGATAGATGGAGCGTTCTCTCCATAGTTTGATAAGCCTCTGCTGTTAGGTCACTACCGCAGCTGTCGAGAATAAATACTAAAACGAACCGAATTAACCAAGTACTTACCAAAAATCAAGTGTCACCTTATCTGCTTATATAACATCTTCATTACTTCGGGTTCGCAAATTACGTCACGGCTCTGACGGCCAGCCTGTCTTCTGCGCGTTCATCAAATCCATCACACTGGAGGATAAGCCAACCTAAATCTCATTTAAGATGGACAATGGACAATGGATTATTACGGGTAAAAAAGTATCCCTTAACAAGTCCCGTGGGATGGAAATTATTGCGAAAATCAATTGCATAATAAAGTGAAAAGCGTTGTGGTTGACTCACCATTGACTTATGTGGAATAGCGGAGATGTTCGCGTATTAAACATAAAAATCCATAAATACAATGGTTGAGCGTTTGGCAAGAAACCGTTTGATTGCGTTTTGTAGCCCCTGGCTAACAAGTCATAAAAGGAAATGTAAGTGAGACAACGCATCGTCAACACGTTTTTTAAATATCGCCAGATTGGGAGCAGAGACGACATAATTAGGGAGGGCATTCCAAGGCTCACACACGCGGAGAGAAAAGAAATTTCTACGGCATTCAAGCCGGCTGTAATGAATTGTCAGTTTCAGAGGGTGACCTCTTAGTTTAATGTTGGGATTCAATTCCAGCAGCGGACGGCAAATGTGGTTTGGGTTCTTCAGAATCTGGTAAACCATTATGAGATCCCTCCGCAAAAGCCGATATCGACTGCTGTACATTCTTAGAGATTTCAGTCTAAGCTGATAGGGCAAATGAAAGAGGCCCCTGACGTTCTTGGTTGCCCGTCGTTGAGGAGTCTCAAGAGCAATGAGATCCTGTTTCTGCCACGGCTGCCACGCCTGAATAGCATATTCCACATACGGGCGCACGTAGGCGTTAAGCATTTGGGGAAATATTGATGGTTCAAACTGACCGAAGGGTCTGCGAAGAAGGCCGAAGTGTTGATTTCCGGTTCTCGTCGCCTTCTCTGCTTGTTTGGAACACCCGAGATCTTCTTGTACCAATACACCCAGGTCCCGCTCATGAGAAACCTTTGCCAAGGTGTGGTCTCCAGTCTTGTAAGCGCTCACCAGCTGGTGACGCAGATGCATCACTTTGCACTTAGCCATGTTCAATTGAAGCTTGTTACTCTGTGACCATTCATAAATGCAATCTAGGTCATGTTGGAGCAGATCCTGATCTGCCTTGTTACTAATCGCCCGCCATATCTTGACGTCATCGGCGAAAAGCAGGAAGTTTGTGGAGATGACTCTTGCCAGGTCGTTGATAAACACCAGGAATAAGCGCAGTCCCAGCACTGAGCCTTGCGGGACACCACATTCCACCTCAATTGGGTTAGAAAGTGATCCCCTGACACGTACTTGGAGCTTTCGTTGGTAAAGGAAGTTGCCAATCCAACCAAGTACAGGATCTCCGATTCCGTAACTCTGAAGCCGTTGAAGTATACTCTGAAGCTCTGAAACTCTGAACTCACGTCGGTCCATCTAGGTCAACTACGGCTCGCTGACATCATTCGCTGACAAGTAAGAGTAGAATCAAAAATTCGATGTAGCACGATTCGACATGTATGCGCTACTGCTGAGTCCAAATAGGAATAAGTGTCCGGCTAGTTCTTCCACATAGGTGTATTTACTGTATAGCCGCTTTAATGCAAAGGTTCTTCAAAAGCAAGATATCTCTTACTAATAACAACTAAGCCATGGTCCTCTTCAAGTCTTAAATGCCCCTAGCTTAGGAGCCGTATGCATAGGAGGTCCAGCTCAGAAGTAGCACTATCTTCTCCAGCAGATATAAAACACAAGAGAACGGATGGTAAGCTACACTTTATATGCTTTAATAATCTGTCATTCTAGTTCGAGGCAGTCACTCTTTATTTGGTAACATCTATCATAAACAAGTTAAATCATATGTTCGATGTGCACACCAGAATAGTGCGCTCCACAGACGAGCCCAATACCATGCGGGCATTTCCAAGACAACGCAAGCTGATTAGGGCACCTACTTATTTCACCAATTTTGAGGCTTCCAAGTCCCATTGACCACCTAATTTTTATAACATTATGTCATATTTTTCTGATGGACAGTTTATGTAATTTGAAGCGTGCGCCGTTGCACTTTAAGGGATTAGATGGTAGGCCCCCTCGACTTTGTACTAAAGAGGATCTTTTGACTTCAATGACTAGGTCGTATCTATTGTTTGGAGCTTCGGTCAGGTCGGTTGCCTAGTTCAGTAAATGATTTTATAGGGTGAAATAGACATGTATAAATAGAAAACGGAAGAACCACGGCATGGAATCTTGAGCTCCAGATGTGACAGCATGCAATAAGAGTTAACACCACTAAGCTGTCAACTAGATATACTTATGGAAAATAATTACTCAGCAGAAAGGCTAATGCAAGTGGAATTAAAGCAACAGCACACTTATCTAACTAAGGAAAGTATTGCAAAATAAATCGCGTCTG